TCATTGATAAAGATGTTGAATAGCACTGGGCCCAGGACAGAACCTTGTAGTACACCACTGGTCACTTCTCTACATGAAGAAGAGGAGCCATTGCTGAGCACCCTTTGGGTTCAGTCAGTCAACCAATTACAAATGCACCTAACAGTTGTATTGTCTAGACTACATTTTACTATCTTGTTTGCAAGAATATCGTGGGGAACTTGTCAAAAGCCTCACTGAAATCAAGATATGCTATGTCTACCACATTCCCTTCATCTAGCAAGCTGGTAATTTTATCAAAAAGAGAGATCAGATTAGTCTGGCATGACTAGTTTTTGAGAAACCCATGTTGACTTTTAGTGATTATGGCATTCCCTTCTAAATGTTTACAGTCTCTCTGTTTAATGAACTGTTCTAGAATCTTTCCCGGTATTGATGTCAGACTAACTGGGTGATAGTTATTGAGATCTTCTTGTTTTCCCTTTTTGAAGATGGAGACAATGTTTGCCCTCCTCCAGTTTCCTGGGATTTCTCCTGTTCTCCAGGAGTTCTCAAAGATTATTGCCAGTGGCTCTGAGATTACATTTCCCAGTTCTTTTAATATCCTTGGATGTAGTTCATCTGGTCCTGGAGAATTAAATTCATTTAGGTTAACCAGGTATTCCTGTACTGCCACTTTACTTATTCTGTATTGCATTTCCCCTATTGTGTCCTCTGCTCCATTTTCCTCAGGTTGAGCACCCTTTTCCTTTTGTGAGAAGACTGAGGCAAAGAAGGTGTTGAGTAGTTCTGTTTTTTCTCTGTTCCTTGTTAGAATTTCTAAATCTTCTCTGCACAGTTCCCCTACCATTTCCTTCCTTCTTTTGCTACGGACAAACCCAAAGAAGCCCTTTTATTGTGCTTAACCGCTCTAGCAAGCCTGAGCTCATTCTGTGCTTTGGCTTTCCTGACTTTACCTCTGCATGTGCTAGCTATTTGTTTGAATTTCTCTTTAGTGGTTTCACCCCTTTTCCATTTCTTATATGTGTCCTGTTTAAAACTTAGTTCAGTTGAAAGTTCTTTTGTCATCCAACACAGTTTCTTGAGACAGCTCCCATTTTTCCTTCTTGTTGGAACAGTTTGAGATTGTGCCTTCGGTATCTCCCTTTTGAGA